TTTTAGATCACGGTCACAAAAAGTTTGTTCAAAAGTTGGTCCTTGGATGGGAAAGTGTTGAAAGTAATTTTTTAAGTCCGGGAAACCCCATCACTTTTATAGATATAGTGTATATGGCTATATTTGCAGTATCATATTAGCAATACCTAATTTCTCAGCAGTTTCAAAATTCATATTCAATTGGTTTTGTATCTTTTGTATGCATTTTTGCTACCCGAAATGCTTTACTCCTTAATTTTTTTTCTCGTTTTCATAAATGCAGACTTAGGGAAATACGGGCAGTTTTCCGCCATACCTCTTTAATTATTTTTCATAAACATAACAGGAATTAGTCATTCATGGTAAATGTGATAACATTGGTTAGTTGGGATAAATCAAGATGAATAAAATAAATACTACATATAATTATGATTCCTTTCATGCCAATAAGAAAATCATTTGAAATGTTGAACCATTCAAACAATAAAATCTCCTGCCTACTGTAATTCTTATACATATATACACCCATTCGTTATCAACATAATAAATTTATCATATGTTGAACACAAAATTCGTATTTGTCCAATCCAATGAAGGAAGCGAGGTAAATTGAATCAAATGAAACACTCCCCCCCCCCCCCCCCCCCCCCCCCAAGCTATCAATTATCCATAACCATAGGCCATAATGAGTGGGAATTAAATCTTGTATACAAAGATAAAATGTGTATTACCTGGTAGTATATCAACTTTAGTTCTAATATTTTAAATTAAATCTTTTAAATATTTTTAATTAAAAATCTGAAAACATAATGAAATATTTTATTGAGCTGACATGATCAATCTTAATCACATTTGCATGGAATTACGTACCAATACCTACTTTAAACGAGGATAGTATTACATTCCTCTCATTTCAATCCTCTGGGCATGTATAGGTTTTTCATATTAAGATATATATTCTAGGACATGATCATAGTATAACTGAAATCACAAGGACTAAAAGGCATCTGGACAATAAATGTATATCCCCTAATTCTTAAACAGCTAGTAATACTATAACGTTATATACTCTCATAGATTTCCTTAGCCCAAGTTTCCTCCGGCCCCACACCAGACATATATCTGTCAAAATGTCTTGTGACATGGACAGAGGAAACTTGGGTTAGGATTTCCTACAATAAACGTCTTTGATATATGTGAACTATAGTTATAATTTCTGGGAATAATAATTTGAGAATATATATTGGACACTGCTCCCGTGATTCTCTTTTCATACGCATCTAATTATAAGAATTTCATATTAAAATCCTCCCATGACATATATGGGCAATTACAAGGTATAAAGTAATGTAAACCATTAAACCTTTAACAATCAGCTTAACATAGCAAATTGTATAGTTACTCATTTCCATGTATATGAAATGTCACGAGTTCGTATCATTGTAAGAATTGAATTTTGCAAGTCACTTTTAAAAAAAAAAATCATTTCTATTCCTCTTTTTATTATTCTTATAGATAAACTACTAATTAACTTATTTCATACCAAAGATTGCAAATATTGATATTCCAACATCAACCTTACTTCAATGTTATTTTCAACGAGGAACTTACATGTCTTTTTTGTCAAATAAAGTAAAATATTTGAGAAATACTGTATTTGTGAAAGGTATGAAAGCAAAATCTGTCACAAAAACTCTTTACTTCCACTCTGAGCCAGAGTCACTTAAATCATTCTCATGGAGTCTGAAACAAGATTGATATCAGATTTTATGACAAATTTGTCATAAGATCAATCAAAGGTTTTGGAATGTATTGATGATAAAATTTCAATAAATAATATCTTATTATCATTATGTAGTTGTGGGGTGGGTATATTTCCCAGATAATTGTAGATCTATGAAAAATTGAAATAAAAATGATTTGCTAATATTAATTAAAATGTTTAAACTTAATTGGATTAATTTCGTTTCTTGTCAGTGTACAAAAAAGGGACAATATTTTTAGAATTTTGCCCATTAGAAAAATTTGTTAACAGATAAATCTGTTCGATATCATATTAAATATCTGTTTCATCAAAGATTTATAATATCAAGCAGCAGTTTGATATTATAAGGAAGATAGCCTTTCTTTCCAGGTGTAACATTTTATTTTAATTTCCCAAAAATTAAATTAAATGACCAGAAATATTTTTGTTAAGACAATGTCACCCTACACTGCCAATTTTTTTAATCTCAATTAAATCTTAGAGTATAACATGCTATAAAGTATTGCTTTTTGAAAACAATTTCAACAAGATTTAATTTCTGTATTACAGTTAGCTTTGAATTAAAATCCTTAGTATATAACATTATTATCATACTATAATATGCTGAACTTTATATATATTAATCATATAGTCAGTTATGTTGCAAAACAAATATTTGTGCTATACACAAGAAGGAATGGTTGAGTAAATTAAAAAATTTACATCAAAGTTAAAGATAAAAAAATCTGATGTGTAGTTACTTCTCCTGATAAAAATGGAATTTGTATCAAAATTCAACACCATACAATACATTTAACTAAATATTTCAGTATTAATCTGCGCCATTAATACACATTTTTTTCATGGTGGATATTGATTTTCTTTAAACACTTATCAATCAGCATCTAACTGAAAATTTACAAACAAGACATGAAGAAATATTTGAAACTGGTTTTAAACGAGTGGCAAATTGCATGCAAGGTGTGTGCCAACTTGAATATTTTAAGCTTTATAAAGATTTATTCTTTTCTCAAATTTTATAACATGGTTTTTAAGTAAGCTGAGCCGACATATGTAGTTTTTACAAATTTCATTTGAAAAGAACACAAGCCTAACGGGCAAGCATCGCACTACTGTTTGGCTTGAAGCATGTCCAAGCATCACTTTGTGGAGTTTTATTTTAGCTATGCATGGCAATCGCAAAGCAGAATGTACAGGTAAATGGTCATGTGAGGGCAGGCTCTCCCTCCTCATATAAGTTTAAGTAGATAGTACAAATACATATAAATATGTAAATATAACAGCACTCATGATGAAGAACATAGGTGTATAAATGTAACAAATTTAATTTTACATATCACAGATGACAAACTACAGAACAGACCAGGAGATCAGTCAAGGTGTACGTAAAACTGATGGTGACAGTGTCAATTCTCTACTGCTCTGCAGATATTCCATCACTGGCAATTTCCAGTCTTACAATAAAATAGAAGTGTTACACCATAGCAGATGCCATTTTTGCATAGTTTGCTATTCATCTTAATATCCTCAAAAGAAATGTCTGTTAATTAAAGTAATGAGAATAATTTACAAAAGATTGAAAACCAGTTGTAGGTGTGCAAGATTTTCATGGATATATTCATATTAAGCAAACAAAAACATATAAATAGAAATCAACAGTGTAATATCTTCAAAGAAAAATACAAAATTGACATGTTGATGTGAGTTTTATATACACCTGACAATCAACTGACGTTTGTTCTATACCAAGAGCTGTCAGATGTTAATAAAAGAAACAGGATTATCTCCCTTTGGGAAACTTGATAATTGTCTTTTCCCTAATCTGGAGCTTCCCCATGAACTGTCCGGATGAACACACCGCAAGCGTTGATCTGATATAAAGGTTGCTGAACAAATACACAGGTCAACGACCGAATTCATAGAACAAAACGATCCTAGATGTCTGCTGTTGATCGGAACTAGAATACAAATTAATGACTGTTGCTTGTAGACTTGTCCTTGCCTGAGCTACAAGTAATGCACATTGCACTTCACTTGAATTGAATGCAAACACAGTCTTTTGCATATAGAGGTTTTGATGAATTAATCCTAGGTCATCAAACTTGTCACTTTGGAGGGGGCGGTGGAGGTGCCCTCGCTCCTGAAATAGCAGACATAGCATAAAGCTAGAAAGATTGTAGATTCTCACTGTACACATCATGGATTTAACTCAGTTTTACATACTACATTTTATACAGAAACATATATTTCTAAATTATAAATGAGCAACATAATGTTCTTACCCCGGGAATGTTTGTACAAAAAATTACACCTGGATTGGGTGCCTCAGGCATCAAGCAGGTTGATTTTTAACCCTTTGACACATTCCAGTTCTTCCTAATATTAATGTGAAAATAACACTTTGCAAGATCAAAGCTTTACACAGATTTCATTCCTTTATTAGGATGTTTTTTCTGAGCCTAAAAATATGTCATACCCACAACTAAGGTTTCATAACCAGAATGGCATACCATACATATTTTATACCAGTATTTATCTTTTTATTTTCTATACAACACTAATAGTCTCTCCCTTTTTAATTTTGGAACAACAGAAAATTTTGTGACCATGACCCAGAGATGAAAGCCAATTAATGTCAACACACACTATACAAGCATTGTTTGACCTTTGACCCCTTTCGATGACCTTGATTTTTTTGTAAGGAATCGTGTCTTATCATGAAAGTATACACATCTATGAGGATATGAAAACTAGATCACTTTTGCATTTGGAAGCATGTCAATGAGTAATCACTTCAAACCTACATGTACCTGAGAACAATGTCAAACTTACCTGTGTTTTTACCTGGATTTCTAGGATTTTTACTTGGATATGTCTTGTTGATTTTACTAAATGGCTCCGGAGGTGGACACTCATTTGCATTGTGAAATCTGAATCTGTTTTCAAAATCTGAAAGATAATTGGGTGCAATTTATAATCTAAACTTGTGTTTTACTCAACATTTCATATCAAAATAAGGACATTTTCTTGTTCAGAATTTAAAGTCAAGCATTGAGGATTGAAAAGTTAATTGAAGCATTACCATTAAAAGGAACAACAACAATATTCCTGAGAATCACAAATTCTTATGCTTAACTGTCATAATCAATTTACTGTGAAAACACAACTGTCAAATCTGGTTATTTTGAACAAATGTTTACAAAGGGAAAAATATAAAATGCTGGGAAAAAGATGCTTGCTATATATGCATAAAAACACCTCATTAATCAAGACAAACCTTGAAAGAAATTTTGACAATCAGAACTTGTCTGGGAATACAATGGCAATACCACAAATCTGATGTCAATTTAATGTATTTTAGATATATTTTGTTTTCAAGTTTAAATATTTCTTATTATCTTTTTTAATTTAGGCTCAATACTTTGTTACAAAGAATGCTTCGCTCAGTCAAATTTTTGCATTTCACTGGTATATTCCATTTTATGTCCAGCGTGCTCTAAACATATTATTTTCACTGGAGGACGTTGGATCTTATTTTCCCATGTATATGTTATTACCCCTTGTATATGTTATTACCCCTAGTATATGTTGTTACCGTTTGTATGTTATTACCTATATGTTATAACACCTTGTATATGTTATTACCCCTTGTATATGTTATTACCCCTTGTATATGTTATTACCCCATTGTATATGGTATTACCCCTTGTATATGTTATTATCCCATTGTATATGTTATTACCCCTTGTATATGTTATTACACCTTGTATATGTTATTAC